GCACAAGTGGATATGATAGTACGGAAAGAGCCGCCCACCGCTGAGGTGGGTTCTTGGTACCGAACGTATTTAAGTCGGAGAGCGGGCTTTGACTTACGTTCTCTTAGCTTGAGGAGTGCAGCAGAGAAAAGCGAGGTGGAAATAAATGAAATAAGTTAGAGTGCGTTTGGTATATGTGGACTGTATTGTCCGATGAATAACAGCGACTCTATTAGCTATTAAGCGAATAGTTGCAGAAAATGCAACTGGTAAAAAATGCTTATATGTGCTACCGTATGTACATATGGTTTCGATGGAAAAAATGCACTTATGTTTTCGGCACTTTGTTAAGCCAAGTTCAACGAACTATGCGACCAACGGCAAAAATTGGTAAGCAGAGGAAAGTATATGATTTTAATGTGCTAATATTTGTTCTTGCACAGTGGGACACAGTAGGCATATAAACTGCAACGAAATTTATTTTGGGGTATATAATAAATTTTGCATATATGTACATATACCTATATATATATAAGATTGGCGGTAAGTGGAGGTATACCGCTTTCTGGAAAACGCAAGTTTTCTACCAAAATTTTAATAGCGGCAAATTGCCTTGTGGAATTTTGTGCGGCAGGAGAATATCCGCAATTTTAATAGAACCGTTTTTGGCGAGAAAAAATACGCCTTTTATTTAATTATATATATATATATGTATGTATATACGTATGTATGCCCGTTGGCAGTTTATTAGAAATAATATAACTTTTACGAAAATGAAAGTTATATTATTTCAATTTTTAAGGAAATTAAAAATTTGCCTACTTACTACTTTCCTTTGGTTTATGTAACGATGAATGTATGTATATAGTTCGCTCCTTTCTATGGTCTAGTGCCTGGTGTTGTTGTCGTAGCTGTCGACGGCTACTGATGCTGTTGATGGCCGCTGCTGCTGCTACTGATGTCGTTGATGGCTCCTTATTCTGGCTGCTTGGCTGAAAGCTTGCCTTGGTTTTGCTGTTTTTATGATGATTTTTTTTATTTATTTTTAATGTATGTACATATATAGATATGTTTATGTATTTTTTTCTTTAGTTTGCGATATGTATGTACATACTTATGTGCACTTTTTCAACACTCTATTTTTTCAAACAAAAATTTTTTTTTGCATATGTGTATGTAGCACTGTATGTATGCGTGCACTTTTATTTTTGAATTTATAGGTTTATTTAAAAGTTTTACAATTTTTGCAGTTTTTTATGCATTGGTTTTTAGCGGACGTACGAATACGGTTTTTTATTTTTTATTTTTAAGTTTTTGAAAATTTTTTTTGCTAGGAGCTGGGCCACGGTTGGCTGCGAAGGACCATGAATCCGCGGAATATGGAGTGCTGAACCAAAAATTAAAGCAAATATAATTTCAGATAATTTGCAAGAAATAAAAACACAAACACCGCCACAAAATCTTAAAATTTTTTTCCTGATTTTCTGTGGCACAAAGTGCAATTTTTACTCGTTTGACATATATTTTTCTAATTTTTTGCGAACGTTATCTGGGTGGTACTCAGCAAAATTTGATCAATTCTTGTCTCAATTTTTATACGTTTGACCATCCACGAGAGTCAAAATGCCTCTTGGACACAGTCCACCAAAAATGTCTGAAATCGAGACAAGGTCAAAAAATGCTTCCCAAGAAGCCACCGGTGGTAAGAGGGAACCCTCACCGCACCGGAAATCCAAAACTTTTGACTCATCCGCTCAAAAGTTTATAGCGGAAAGTGACAGTATCATGAGATATTGTGCAAAATTCAGTGATGCACCAATCCAAGACCACACTGAATCATATCTTATGATAAAAGACAAATCACTAGATGATTGTTGGGCACGGCTTCAGTCCGCTTATGATTTGGTTTTTTCAAAGCCAGATCACAGCCTACCTGAAAACTTTAAGAATTCGGTAGAAGGCAAGTACTTCACTTGCCTTGAATAATATGAGGTGACCAAAGCTAAAATTGCCGATCAACTGTCGTTGATTAGAGCAATCGCCGCACCGAGTCCACCACCCCGCGTGGAACACACCTCGGCAGAGGCAAACGTTTTCCTCCAAGTCCCACCTTGTGACACGGAGACATTTTACGGCGGTTACGAAGAATGGCCCGCTTTTCGTGACATGTTCACAGCGGTGTACATCAACCACCCGAAGCTCTCCCGTGCTCAAAAATTGTATCACCTCCGATACAAAACCCAAGGTAAAGCTGGCTCCATCGTCAAGCAATATCCGCTCAGCGACGATAACTTCGAGCTGGCCTGGGAAGCTTTACGGTCACGATACGAAAACAAACGTATCCTGGTTGACAACCAAATTAAAATTTTGATGACTTTGCCGACTATTCAATCCGAGAATAGCGAGCAACTTCAAAGGCTGCAAACATCAATTAACAGCTGTCTGTCAGTTTTTAATTCCCAAGACGTCCAGACAGACAGTTGGGATCCCATATTGGTGTACATATGCTCATCCAAATTGCCCGAAACCACACTGTCACTTTGGGAACAATCTCTCTCTTCTCGAAGAGATTTACCCTCATGGTCACAAATGGACGATTTTCTTACTTCAAGATACGAAGTAGTCGAAAGACTTAACCGGCTTCATCCAAGCCAAAATAAACAAAAACCAGTCGCTCATCAAAATGCTGCGCAAAACAGGTCCTTTAACAGGGCTCAAACCTTTGTGGCAGAACCTAAGAGGGAACCAACTTGCTCTTACTGCAAGTCCCCTCATCCCATTAGAGTCTGCCCACAATTTAAGCGAATTTCGGTACCAAGCCGAGTACAATTCGCAAACCAAACCAAGCTGTGCAAAAACTGCCTTGGGAATACCCATAGCACTAATGAGTGTCCGAGCAAGCGGACATGTACACATTGCCAACAACGGCATCACTCCCTGCTGCACATGAATCCCAAACCACAATCTCGACACTCCAGTGCGCGAGCGAATGAAACCGCCGCACAACACACTACTGCCCAGTCGACACCTCCCGCTCGACAAGCGCAGTCAAGCTCCGATTCCAGCGAGCAACCGTGCTGTTCCAAACAAGCACAAATACAATCATTGCATACCGAAAATTATAGCAAAATTCTCCTTCCAACTGCCATGGTCGCAGTTGAACACGAGGGGGAATTGTTTCAACTTAGAGCCTTGATTGATCAAGGCTCACAAAGAACTTTCATTTCCTCGAAAGTTCAAAAACGATTGAAACTACCATTCGAACATTCCAAGTTCGAAATTTCCGGCATGGGTGGGCATGTAGTACAAAGCTCCTCAAAGCTTTGTCCACTCACATTGGTTGCACCCAAGACCATGCAACGGATAAACACACAGGCTATCGTGTTACCTCAGCTCACGAGGCACATGCCTACGTTCATCATTAGCCGTGAAAACTGGCAGCTATTCAAGATCCTTGAACTTGCTGACCCAAGCTGTCACTTACCAGCTCAAACTGATATGGTAATCGGCAGCGATATACTTCCACAAATCCTGCTGGAAGGTATAAAAACGATTTGCGACACTATACTTGCGCAAAAAACAATATTTGGCTGGATTCTCAGTGGTCCAATAACCGAAAATGTGGTGTCATTCTCGACACAAGTAGAAGAGTGCTCGAATACAACTCTGAGCTCTCAGCTTAGAAAGTTTTGGGAAGAGGAGGAGATTCCACAACCTCCACAAATTTCCCCTGAAGATCAGGCATGTGAGCATATATATGCAACAACAACGACTCGTGCCCCAAACGGTCGATACATTGTGCGACTTCCATTCAAGGAAGAATTTCCAAAAAAGCTAGCTCTGGGCCACTCTCGGTCTGCTGCACTTCAGCAGTTTTTCAGTATGGAGCGATCGCTTCAGAAAAAAGGAAACTTAGCCACAATGTACAATAATGTGTTGCAAGAGTATCTCGACCTCGGTCATATGGAGCACACGAAGCCATGCGAGATAATTTCCAATGGCAAATACTTCTCTTTCTACTTGTCACATCATGCGGTCGTCAAACCAGATAAGGTGACCACCAAAGTTCGCGTGGTATTCAACGCCTCAAAAACATCTGGTTCAGGAAATTCCCTGAATGACGTGTTGCACACTGGTCCCACACTCCAGCCAGATCTCATGCTGCCCATTTTGCAGTGGCGAATGCACAGATTCGTGTTCAATGGCGACATTGAAAAAATGTATCGTCAAATACTCATCCATGAGGACGATAAAGATTTTCAGCGAATCTTATTTCGCACATCGGCTGACTCTCCTGTCACCGATTATAATCTTAAAACCGTAACGTTCGGGGTTAATTGTGCACCATACCTCGCTATCCGTACCCTGCATCAATTAGCAGATGATACGATAACGACATTTCCCTTGGCTGCCACAATACTTAAAACCGAAACGTATGTGGATGACATCCTATCCGGAAGTCATGATATTGACAACGCCACTGAATCACTTTTTCAAGTGATCAAAGCGCTTAAGTCAGCTGGTTTCATACTCAAGAAACTAACGGTCAATCATCCGGCCATTTTAGAAAAATTTCCAAAGGAGGATCTTCTCGACTCCAACTTTTTGAAATTTGAGAGCGCTTCCACAACCAAAACTCTTGGTATACAATGGAACGCACTCACAGATAAATTTTCATACACCATTCTGCCTGCATCGACATCGAATGCCGTCACAAAGCGACAAATTTTATCTTCTGTCGCAAAACTTTTTGACCCGGCAGGATGGCTATCGCCAGTGATGATTCAAGCTAAGATTCTTCTTCAAGAACTTTGGCTAGATGGCGTTGATTGGGACGAATGTGCCAAACCTATATCCTTCGCAAAATGGCAACAGTTCGCAGAAAATCTGCCAGCCATCTGCCACATCGAAATCCCTCGATGGGTTAATTTCACTCCGGGGCAAGATACCCAAATCCACGGGTTTTGTGATGCTTCGGAAAAAGCATATTGCGCTGCGATTTACATCCGCGCAGATGCTAGCAACCAAAGATATTCCACTCTTTTGGTTGCAAAAAGCAAAGTCGCACCATTGAAGACGGTAAGCTCGCCACGCCTGGAGCTGTGTGGTGCAGTCTTACTCGCAAAACTGGTCGCAACTGTTCGAAAACAGCTCAAATTGGAATCGTGCAACACATTCTTATGGTCAGATTCAGAGATTGTGCTAGCTTGGCTTGAAAAGCCACCATGTACATGGAAGACGTATATATCCAATCGGACCTCCCAAATCCGGGAATATCTTCCAACCGGTACATGGCGCCATGTTGCCAGCCAAGACAATCCAGCCGACCTCGGCCCCCGTGGTTGCAAACCGCAGGACTTGGCAAATTCCCCACTCTGGTGGCACGGACCAAAATGGCTCTCTTGCCACATGGATGCATGGCCAAGGTCAAAGGCATGCAGTGCATCTCCACCAGAAAAGCGCAAGGTGGAGGTATATCACGCGCTCGAAGAAGAGGTCGATTTTCTTGATCGCTTTTCTTCTGTCTCTCGAGCACTCCGCGTGACTGCGTACATGTTCCGCTTCGTGAGCAATGCCCGCAACAAATCAAAGGGGGTAGCTACAATCACCTATCCACATCTGACACATAACGAATTTCAATATGCAAAAATTCATCTTATCAACGCAGCGCAATCACGTCATTTTCCGAGCGAAAAAAGCGCTTTGCAAGATAAAAAGCCACTTAACAAAAAAAGTCCTCTTATTGTTCTCAATCCTTCGTTGGACAAAGACGGACTTATACGGGTTAATGGCCGATTAGCACATTCATCATTGAGCTATAATGAAAGGCACCCAACAATTCTCCCTACCGAATCGAGGTTCTGCCAGCTATATTTGGAGTTTTTACACTCGCTGCTTCTTCACGCAGAAACACGATTAATGCTCCAAATGGTAAGGCAAGAGTACTACGTACCAAAGCTAAAACCTCTAATTAAAAAATGCATTTTTCAATGCAAAGTGTGCACGCTTTACAAGCAACAAACACGCACCCAAATAATGGCCGCTATACCCCCTGAGCGCTGCAGTTTCTCACTCCCCTTTTCCACAACGGGAGTAGATTTTGCTGGGCCATTCCAAATTAAAGCATCGGTGCTAAGATCTACAACCCTTATCAAGGGATACGTTGCAGTTTTTGTCTGTTTTTGAACAAAGGCAGTGCATCTCGAGCTATGCTCGGATCTTACAACCGCGGCTTTTCGAGCAGCATTTGCCCGCTTCGTTGGCAGACGAGGTTTCCCCTCAAAAATGATGAGCGACAATGGAAAAACGTTCATTGGCGCCCAGCGCGCAACAGAACGCGACTTCGTTAAATT